ATTAAGTGATTTTTTAATGATTTTGTCAAGTTAAAAATATTTGTGAAAAATTTTAAAATAATTTGTCATATTAATTGGTAATCCACGAGTTTGCTAAAGAGTGATTATAATAAAATAAGACTCAGAAGAGTGATTATAATAAAATAAGACTCAGATTACTATATAAATTTATTATAGTGCGAATATAATCTGCATGAATCTAAAAAAGTTTTAGATTTGTATAGGCCACATTCACACTATAGTAAATTTATATAGTAATCTGAGTCATATTTTACTATCTCTTAAACCGTCTAGTTTAGCATACATATTTGTATGCTAAAATATTTTAAAGAAAAGTGAACTTAGAAAAAAATTTATTTATAAAAATTTTTATTCTAATTGGTTGTGACGACTCTTTAAGACCTGAGTCACATGGCAAACTCCATAGTTACAGCATGTAACACTCCGTGCGACCTGAACAGGAGTATAAATTCGCACGATGGCTGAAAAGTATGCCATTTTACCTATACTTTTGAGCCAGTTTATCTCCTTAACATTAACTTTAAAACCAATTATATAGAATTGGTCTTAAAGAATTTTTGATAAACTTTAAATATTATATTATATAAGGGACCCGTATGTGACGATTGTAAGGAATCTTTATAAGTATCACGTGCAGGTTCCTTTTTTAGTATTAAATTTGAACATCAAAGTCCTATTACGGCCAATGTTAAATAAATAAGTTTTGAAATATCGTTAAAGAAATTTCATAAAATGGAAATTATGCTATAACCAACAAACAATACACTTTTATTTTAGCTTAGAAGATAGGGGGGTATAGCTTAATAAAATTTAGAGCAAATGGATGAAAATAGATCAAAAATCATTTTAGCGTACAAATTTGTACGCTAGACGGTTTAAGGGATAATCATTCTCTGGCTGACTCATAGATTACCAATTAATATATTTCAGACTTTGATCTTGTTTTCTGTTTTACATGTTTAAAATACTTATAATTATAATAAACATCACATGAATTATATATCATATACACACATAAATAGTATTTTAAAATTGATCTATATTATTTGTCATGATAATTATATAACAGTCATTCTAGAAATTATTGCGTAAAGTGATACAAAGTTAAAATACAGATATATCTGAATTTAATGTTAATATAACAAGAACAGTTTCATTTTTAGACACACAATGTTACTACAATATTACATATTAATCTTGTATATACATATATAATTAATTATTCATTTGCCTATTCGCATTGCTTTCAAATATCTGTTATACATGCCATCGAAATAGGTTTTCAAAAAACCCCTATTTCGTCTCCATTAGAGCAATTTAAAATTTTTTATATGCAATAGCAAATCTAATTTAGGTAGTTATGTTCCTTATAATTTCATCTCTTCAAAAAAGTATCAAAAAATTTTGTCTTTTAAATAAAGTAGATCAAAAACAATTTTGTCTTTAAATTTTAATTTCGTACTCTGAAACCTAAAATAATTTCATCAGCATGTATAATCTCAATTAACTATTAATACTCTATCTACAATCAACTTTTCTTGAACTTGCACTTGCTAAGAATAGGTTTCTAACAGATTTTCTGATATCGCTTCTTTATCCATCTGCATAGTTTCACTACTGTCATTATCTTAAATATCCAAACAGATTTTTTAGATAAGTTGGATTTTTTATTTTTAATATAGATTTTCAAAGCTTCTTTTAAAGCATAGTACTGATTACAATGAGAACAGAGATAATCATTAATTGATTTATTGATGGTTAGGCAATACTAATCAAAGAAGAAATACTGTAAATTTGTGTCTGGAGAAGTTAACTTTTCTTTCATTAATATAGAGAGAAGAAAGCTGTCAAAGTAAGTTGTATTATCAAATATGCCTATGCTTGCTACGCAAATACTTTGAAGCTTTTGTTAGATCAGAAGTGGTGATAGAAAAAACAATTTGGAAGGATCTGTTTGTTTCCACTATGTCATTACATGTTTTTCCATCCAAGCTGCTGATCTTTCATTTAGATAGTAGGATTCGTCAAAAGGATCTATATACTTAACAAGAACCAGATAATCATCAATAACTGTATCCTCCCACACTGATCTCAAAATATCTCCAGCCACTTTAAAATTGTTTTTCCAATTCCTCATCACTTGTTCTTAACTATATATTCAAATGTGATCCAAAGATATTATGTGAAGAATTATACCAGCTAAGTCATGGTTTAAAGGTGCCATTTATCTTTCTATTAGATTGGATATATTTTGGTGTAGTGCAAAACATGCCACAATGATGATATCAAGATCATACTTAGTAAAGTGATTTACTATCATATGAACTGTTTTTCTATAGCGTGGATTCTCGTCAGGTCCACTATCAGATATCATTACCACCATGGGTTTAGGCTAGCCATCCGTTATAGTATAGTTGTGTAATTTCTCCTCAACCATCAGGTCATCGAAGTCTTTGCTATAAGAGTAAGCGGTACTGTTATTATGTTTATTGCTATGAATTCTTATGAATATTGGACCTGAATATGTTATTGCTTTAGCTTGCCTATATTTACCTTCCAGTATATCTAATACTGCATAAACTAAAGAAATCAGTTTATGCCTTTCAGCAATAACCCAATCATGATCTGGCAGTTCTACTTGGTATTTCAGCCTCATAAGAATTGGTGCTATATGAATTAATTATTATTATTATTATTATTATTATTTTTAAACCTTTGCAATGTCACAAGAAGGCAGATTTTTATTAGGTATTTAGATAATACATTCTTGTTTACCCTGTCCTGTACCATCCACCACAATCATGCCACCCCATAACCTCATGCTGCTTCATAACCTATAGCAGAAGTGTTCTCCAGCTGTTTTGTTCTTACTGGTTTTTTCTAACATTTTAACTATACTATAGGTCTAAACTGAAGACCACCCAGATTGACATCTGCTACACTACTTGTACCCTAATTCTATAGATAACTCAGTAGGGTTCTCATACTACCGGGTTGCTCTAGGGAGGGTGTAGTACATACCCTCTAATCTTTCTATGTCCTACACATTTCCAGATTAGGTTACGAATACCTTCTGAAGCAGCTGAAACCACCACTAGCAGTCAGGACAAACCATTAAACCGCACAATTCTAGTATCCGGTGCCCTTGCAAGGTTCGTTCTAATCCCGATACCCACATCAAGCTGACCCTTATATCGATCCCTCCCCAACTACCAAACCAGTTAGCCTGGACAGGTCATTGTACCTAGGCTTTAAGTGCCTTCTGGTTTTACTTCACTTAGTTTCTAATTCCATAGCATAGGACCTTTTCCTCCGGTGCGACTTCAGCGGCCAGATTGGTGGACCCTTCTTGCCCCAGGGTTTTCGTCTAGTTCTTCGGTCTCCGGTTTCCAACTTTTCTGCAGTATTGTCAAAGATCTTCACTACCTCCTTACTCGGGTCTTGCCAAATGGGTTTCAATTATTCTGGTTCCTTGGATTTAGATCGCCCAAGAGCTTCTATTTCGAGATGGTAGTACCAAGATTACAGGTAATATACCCAACCGATCGTCGAATAATTGTTACCGGAACACAGGCCTATTTTTTTAAAAACGTCTCCAGTGGGATTCGAACTCTAGACCTGCCGCTTGGGGGATGACAACTTAACTACTACTCTAAGTCGCCACACCCTTAAAAGTAAAATTAATTTATTCATTAATTAATTTGTGACTAACTATTTATTAACTTCTGCTCTGCATAATTCAGTGCGCTAGCATCAATTAGTATAGTATTCCTAAATGGAAATTTTTAATTAAAATATGCCATTACATAGTATACTGAATAAAGCAGGGGACAATCTCTTAATATTTAACTGTTTTTTAATGATTCATAATCTGTCTCATAAATCGTCACATTGCAAAGACAGTTATAATGTACGTATTTCGTATTTATTCATAAATTTTGAAATTATTATTTTTCGTTAAGGGTTCTTTTTAGTTTGTATTTCTTATTTTACGTGCATTCTGGTTTCCGGTTTTGCATATAATTACAATTACCTTTGTGCTTTATGAGACAGACCATAAGACATTCCATTAATAATAGCCTAACAATGGATAACTACTCGTGGAAGTTTGCATTTCATGCTTAAAAGCATCCATAATTTTGCGGTCAAATTTTACAAAATATTTATATGATAATTGTCTTTTAGTGCGACAATTCATTATAAGGGTCGTAGATTAGTTACGAGTCATGAGTGATCAATGAGACACTCTATAACAATAGCCAGACAATGACTATATTTTATGCTTGAAAGCATCCCTAAAAATATGATCAGACTCATTTTGTAAATTTTAGTTTTTTTTTGACTTATTATTAATATTAAATAATAAAATTTTAAGTAATCTTTAATGATAAAAAAATAATATAAATTAACAATCGCCCTATCTCTGTAATGTTCCTGAATAAGTAATGTGTTAAATATTAAAAATATATAAAATAACCAGAAATATGCCATTAAGAAGAAAGAAAATTTGCATAATTTTTTTTGCTTTCTATTTTTTTTTTTACCTTCTTATATACTTTCTCTGTCTCCTTGACTTACATCATTTATACTTTCATCTTATAGTGCTTTCTCTTCATCTTCTTGTACTATATCGCTTTTTCTATTTTACAGTGCTTTCTCTGTCTTCTTGTACTATTATTTTATAGTGTTTTCTCTGTCTTCTTATGCTATATCGCTTTTCCTATCTTATAGTGGGGTCTTTTCTGTTTTATTGACTTATATCGCCTTTCGATCTTATCTTACAGTGCTTTCTCCTTGTCTTTCTGTACTACATCACTTTTCTATTTTACAGTGCTCAATCTCATAGTATTATCTTACCTTATATTACTTTTTTTGTCTTCTTGACTTATATCCCTTTTTCTATCTTATAATAATTTCTATACTATTCGTCTTTTCTGTCTTCATACTTTACAGTGCTTTTTCTATCTTCTTTCTTTATATTATTTTTTATTATATCTCGTTATGGAAAATTTTCCAGTAATTCCCAATGGTTCCACTTCCAGTACCTCAACACCTAATAATAATGAAGTAGTAGTAGTCGGTTCCACTCCAAGTACCTCAACACCTAATAATAACAAAATAGTAGTAGTCGGTTCCACTCCAAGTACCTCAACACCTAATATTAAAGAAGTAGTTGATAATAAGTATATTACTAAGGAGAATTGAGTAGAGATAACAGATGAGAATGATAAAAAAGTTTGGAAATGCATATATTGCAATGACAAGAATTATTCAATAAAAACTAGTAAATCGCACTTAAAAACCCATACCCTGTCATGTACTAGTTCTTCACTAAGTGAAACTCTGAATAAAGCATTCAAACAAATTACTAAAGAAGACGTGGATAATTCAATAGTAGACTTGGTTGTTGCAACAGGAATGTCCTTCAATATGCTCAATAATCCATTTTTTCTTAAAATAGCTAAAAATCTTCGCTATATTACACATTCATATAAAATCTCACATCCAACCACAATATCACGACATCTTACAGGCAATAGATTTGACTTGAGATTAAATTTTGTTAAGGATATATTGGCCAAAACTTCTGGACGAATTTCACTTATATGTGATGAGTGGCACTCAACTATCTATAAGTGCCATTATATTGCCATTACAGGATCCTAGGTTAGTGATAATTGGAGGATAGTTAATATTGTTCTAAGCTTTCAAAAATCAGGACAAACAGCAGAAGAAATAATATCAGCAATAATGAGCACGTTAAAAAATTACTCTATTAAAAAAAAAATATTTGCACTTACTATGGATAACACCACGACTAATAAAGCAGTAAGTCGATTGCTCCAAAATGAGTTGCCCAATAAAGAATTAATTTCAATAGGTTATTATAATATAAATTTTTTTTTTTTAATATTTTTTTTTAAATTTTTTTTTTATTAATTTTTATTTGTTTAAAATTTTTTTTTTAGGATGCATGTGTCACATCCTAAACCTTATCGTTAAAGAGGGTTTGAAAGAAATTAGTATATTATATAAAATGGTTCATAATATCATGAAATTCTTAGCAAATCCTCTAGCCAGTAATAGATTAGAAGTATTAGAATCACACTGTAGAATTTCTGGAGTAAACTTTTTAAAGCCTATTCTTGAAATTGACACCGTTGGAATTCAACGCTAGCAATGTTTGAAAGATATATTTATTTGCATCTAGCAATTCAGAAGATGGGCTCTAAAGAACTATCAATACCCGCTTCCTTAGATAATGAAAGCCTGATAGTTCTCAAGTCCTTCTGTTAGCTTTTTAAGCCCTTTGAAATGGCCACGTCAGTTCTTTCGAAAGAAAGATCCAATTCAATTTCTGATGCATTAACAGTTATATTGAAAATTGGACAGCACTTAAATAAATTCAGGGATAATAATATTAATACGACAGGATGAAACCCGTGCAGTGAATTAGTAAAATCCGCTACGTAGATCACATGAGGGTGAAATTCACTTTTGCATAATAAAAAACATAGCTAAGCGCGGATTTCACCCTAACGTGATCTACGTAGCAGATTTTACTAATTTACAACGTGGATTTCACCCAGTCCTATATTAATAATAATTTAATGACCAAAAAATTTGAAAAATATTGGAGATCTATTCTTGATCATGTTATAATTGCTCATGTGCTCAATCCCAGATACAAATTTGAGCATTTGAAAGCAACCTTGATTGAAGTTAGAAATTATAATGACAGTGATACAGAAATGTTTGTCAATGAAATTCGCAAAAAACTTATTTCATATGGAACAAAATATTTTAGCAAAAGTTCTTCAAATTATGTTGAAGTTGATAATAGCAATGATAATTCTATGTCTGATAATTCTACATCCAATTTCAGATTCCCTAAAAGAAGAACTGCCAAAAGGCGAAAACAAATAGATACAATAAAATTCGAATTAGAGCAGTATGAGAATGAACCTCTAGATGACTCAGATAATAGTAATGAAATAGAAAAAAATAATGGAATAAAACTTTGAGAATCATTGTCACCAAGATTCCCAATACTTAGCAATATGGCTCAAGATTTTTTAAGCATTAAACCATCATCTGTTTCTAGCAAAAGAGCGTTTTCAAAAGCTGGTTTCACAATCACTAATGATAGGGCACGTATTTGTGAAAAAACAGTTTCATGTACTATACTTATACACTCTTGGTTAATAGAAAGCCAAAATGAGTTTAGCCCATTTAACTCTATTCCATAATTTTTTTTTGTTACATGACATATAAGTTAATTGTACTACTAAGAAAGATCATCGTCACATAACATTTTTGATGGTGAGATGCTGGGGATCATTTACATATACGATAGTTAATTGTACTACAGGAAAGATCATCATTACGTGAAAGTAACATTTTTAATGATGATGCTGCATAATAGTGTTATACATTTTTTGGGGTCTTTTTTTTCTTGTTCATATCAAGAATGTTAAAAGAATGTTCTAAGCATATAGAAAAAATTTTAATCATCATTACATAAATTAAATGAAAATTTTGTACTTAGGCCATGCAAACTTAATAAATTGGTTCTTATAACCGGCCGGGTCAAATTTTACAAAACTTGAAGAAAAAATTTAAGTATATTTACTATCCGGGTGAGTTTTCAAGAAAAACTATAAAAAAATTTATATGTATTTTATATATAAAATCTTTTGAAAATAAAATTAAAAGTCGGGTTGCCGGGTCATTTTTAAAATTTTTTATGTCATGAAAACCAATTTATTAAGTTTGTATGGCCTTAATATATTGAGTCAAATTATATATTATATTAAAAGTTTGGTTAACTTTTTTTTTATTTGATAGACAACTATCATCATTAATTAGAAGCAATGCAGATAATCGTAATAAATAATATACAAATTATTTACTATAAAATTTTAACTTTAAAGCAAAATAAATAAAACTATAGCAACATTATAAGGTGGTAATTAGACTCTCGCAGATGTGTAATTTAGCAGATTTTACAGTAAATTAAAATGATAATTTCAATAATAACGATATTTTCAACACAGTAACGGTAAGAAGAAGATGACCAAAAAACAAAAACAAGTTATTGCTATTGAAATAATTAAGAATATTTATAAGGATACGGTTATTTAGTCTGAAAGCTTATAGTAAACTTGTATATTTTATCCAGATATTAATGGCTTGACTTTTTTTCTATATAGTAGATCAATACACAGCTTACAGTTATGGTGCATCTAATACTTTTACATAAAAACGAAGCTTTCTTTTCTTTCATTAATAACAACTTTGCTGCTCAAGAGAAAATTTTATATAGAACTACAAAGGCACAAAGGTATATTACATACAGTGATAGTTATTTATATCTATGGCCATTTCATTAAATGTTAATTGTTCTAAAGCCGCACTGGTACATGAAACTAACAATATCAGCAAATGAATAGGCTAGGTATAAAAACTGTGAGACCAAAGATTATGATAATTTATCGAATCAATAATAGCCACAACTTTTAAGTTTTATTAATAATATTTATTTCTCATTATTAGATCGCCGTTTTACAACCAGTTCAACAATGTTCTGAAATTTGGCACGATTATGCTTACTTAGGCAATAATTTAAGATAACGCTCATGCTTTTATGATACTATATATTGATATTAATATTGCCAAAAATCAGCTGAATTGAATAATTTAAATGAAATCATTAAAACTGCTACTTATTACTTTTATAGAATTAGTGTAGAAAAGGGCCTTTATAAAATATTGGAAATGAATCAAAAAGTAGGTTAATTTTAATTTTTATTATAATATTTTGTAATTTAAATATTATAAAACTACTAGTAAGAATATAATTAACCTACATGCGATTTCAAGCTCATTAGTTTAATTGGTAAACTCAACTAGCATAGTGTATAATATGTGATCCTAATATAACAGCACAATGACAGACAGAAGAAATAAGGATATTGATAATTGTATCTGAAAATTTCAACTTAAAGCTTTAAATTTGAAGATGCAATCATATGAGCAGAAATTCTTAGTTGGAATGAGATGATCATTTGAAATTTGGTAATAACAAAGTAATATTCATAAACAACTTAGCTCAAACGATCTGAAATTGATCTGGTTCAGGTTAGTTTTGGAGTTTTCTACAGTTCTAGCTAATCTGTTTGGTGCACTACAACTAGGTAAAATTCGCCACCTAAATTTTTTTCTGACCATGTGAATGAGCATCATTTCATTAGTCATTTTTAATTTAGAATAATATAATAAAATGATTCATTAAAATCATATCACACGATCTGAAAAATTTGGATGCTGAATTTTACCCAGTTGTGCACTACACATAAATGGGATATAAAAACTCATAAGTAAATCATAAGCGATTTATAAGCAATTTTATGATCACTGATCACTTTTTCAAAGAAAAGCTCATATTTATAATTAAAATAAGTAAATAGTAGAGATATTTCTATGTTACTCCAGAAGTTTTAATAGGACAATGATCACTAATATCTATAACTTCAGCATTATCATGACAAAAATGTCAACTGGAAAAAAATCTTTAATCGGCATGACTCTGAAACTATTCTTGCTTAGAGAAAACATTTAGACTTTGCTCCTGAAATTTCAGATCATTATATGATTTATCATATATCACACATAACAAACACATTTCTGATATTAGTTCTTTGGTAAAATGAAATACAAAATTGACAAAAAAGTTTGAGCATATTACTTTGATAAGTATTCGTTGTTTCTTTTAATTCTGAATAAAGATCTACACTAATTCACCTCTTTATTTATTTATTTATTTATTTAAATGTTCTACGAACTTTACCTTTAAAATGCGTATGTGCACTTTCAATTCATCAGTCAGATTATTCTCTATGCTGATAGTGATGATTTTAGTTATTTTTACGGTTAGTTTGCTTTTTAGAATGTTTTCTTGCTAATAGTAGATTAAAAATATACATATTTTTTAATGTACTGGATATAGGGCCTTATAGCCCTCAGCATTCCATTAAGATTCGACATTCTCTGTTCTTGCTTTATGGCTAATAATGTACAAAATACATGTGTTCTTGTTATCATTTGGCGTTCCTAAGCGTAAGTTTAAATACCAACATATACAGTTGTTTCTCATAACTAGCTGGCAGCTTTTATAAATTTTGATTAAATTTTATAATTAATTTTTATAGATAGATGAAAAATATAAATTTACTGGTATCGTAATTAAAAGCCAGGGTGAGCGTGTAAGTAAAATATCATTTGTCAATTGGAATATTAAAAAATAATACAGATATTTACCATTGCTATACTTCGCATTTTATTTATTTATTTCACATTAATATAACTCATGAGTATAAAAAAACATTTATTAATCGATTGTTTTAAATAAGCTACCAAATTTATAGTAAATTTACCCATACCTTTTAATTTAATTAATTTAGTTTGCATCAATTATTCAAATTAGTTTCAAGCATAATTATTATTATCAAGCAACTCA